GATGTTTTTCATTAATAAATAACAGTAAGAATAGGTCTTTCAAGTCTAGAGTGAGGCATAGATGTGCGTGCTCGATGAATTAGCATCAAAAATAAAAGTTTGATAAAGTTTTACTTCTGTTTGTGACACAAATAAATACTGAAACAAAACAATTAAATATCAGGCTTCGAAAATCGATCAATTTCCACTTTATTAAAAAAGATATCTATATCAGTTCTATGAGTACCGCACAAATTGGAAAATTTTTCTTTTCTTTCTAATTAACAACGATAAAAACGATTTTTTAAAAATAATTTTACGATAAATTTTCTCATCTTTCTTTACGAAGATGGCAGTTTCGTTGTTATTCATCTATTTATCAAATGAAGTTCCACTTACAAAATGCAGAACTGATGGTGTGGGTGTGGGTGTGGGTGTGGATGAATGGAATGCTTTGACTCACACCCACACCAACACCCTTGAACGACATGTTTGGATGATGCGAGAAATATAATTAATTGTTCTATCATCTACTTATCGTTATTGACCATGCATTTGTGCTGTTTCTTCAATATGGGCAATTTTCTTATTAGTTTGACTAACTCTAACGAGAGTTTGGGCATATCGATAAGGGACGGCCATCTAATAAGGCATGACTGGAACAATGTTCGTCTTCACGGTTTTTTTATTTCTTTATTCATAATGATCTAAATACAGATCAGAACAAATTATGCTAGTAATAATTAGTTTCATCAGAACCTTCTTTACGTGAACAACGCAAGAAAATGAGTAGCTGTTAGCGCTCATATCTGATTGCTTGCCTATTTTTTCACTACGCAGAGAGGGAGAGCATCGACCTTTTCATTTTTTTTTCATTTCTTCGAATATTAATTACAGCAGAGCTTTCATTATGTAGACAACGCAAGAAAATGAGTAGCTGTTGACTTTCATATCTGATTGCTTGCTTATTTTTTCACCACAAAGAGAGGGAGAGCATCGATCTTTTCATTTTTTTTTTCATTTCTTCGAACATTAATTACAACAGAGCTTTCATTATGTAGACAAGACAAGAAAATGAGTAGCTGTTTACTTTCATATTTGATTGCTTACTTATTTTTTTGTCATGGAGAGAGAGCGGTGACATGTGCATCTTTCTCTTTTGATCATGCATGAGTGCGCACCGCAGCGAGAGACTGATAAAAGCTAGTGCTCTTCGTGTTTTTTACTCAGTCTTTTTTTATCGTCACTTAGATTGACAACGTGTGAATTCTCCAATCATTTTCAATTAAAATTGTTCTTCAACATTATTCAACACTAACTACTTCTATCACTCCATGATTTATAGTATGTATGGTTGATTTGATCGTTGCCTGCAACAGTGATCGCTTTTGTAGTGAAAAATATGCTATTGAGTGCAATCGTATAACTGTTCTTGAAAAGGGACTAGAAACACAACAGTCTACGACGAAGAGACAAATCAAAGATAACTCCTATTCTTTGAAACTCTATTGCACTACTGTATCGATTTTTCCTTAAACTAATGTTCTTATATCGAATTTTGAATTTGCTATAAATTCATATTTGTCATCGTATGTTTCTACCAGAGAAAGGCTCATAAAAAATCAAAATGAAATATAAAACTTAGTGTTGGAGATAGTTTAAAAAGTTCTACCTATTTGACAATATGATTCCATCGACTGTTATCCAATGACAAATAGCATATTAGTGAACTCTCTTATACCGTTTTGAAGAGTATTTCATGAGGCATATTATAGAGGGCGAGAATTAGAAAGTTGATTGAAACTACATGTAAACAACAGGAAGAGGATTTGTTCAGTATTGACAAGCAATCAACGGTTTCAGCATACAAAAAAGTATGCGTGACTTGTGTTGGATTCATTTTTCTCAGTGACAGTTCTTTTTTTTGACACAAAACTGTATCTAGTGTGTTCTTCTATGGACTATGAATAATCAATTAAAGGCTTAGCTTTACTCTCATGGGAACAAGCACTGATAATATTTCCTAAACTTTTGGCTAATATTATAGTAAGAAGTTTTCTGAAAAAGTGGAATCACAAAACTTTGATCTGGTCTTTTGTTCATGAACATTTGTGTTTCTTATTATAGTGTACTAAGATTATTAGCTACAGTCGATACTTCTTCACAATATAACAAGCGGTGCATAAAGAATAGTGGTTTCAGTATTTGCTAGTATCTCGACACGTTTTCCTCATTTAGAGTGAAGTTTTTTCTAAAAGGGTGCGTCGTGCAATTCTCTACGAGATCCTGTTCAATCATTTCTAATCTAATTATTCAATCGCATCGAATTCATTCAAATTTTCCTTCGGAAAATATTTGGAAGAAAGATTTTATGTTACGCATGTCGAGCTGATGTGAAACCATAAGACAAAAAGGTTGACACCTCTTTTAATGCAATGGTAGTGTGTCTGCTCGGTAAGCAGAAGATATATGGTTCGACTCCCACGAAGTAAGAGAGATTATTTCGAGGAGATGAATAGAATACATTTGCTGGAGCATGCAGGCTACGTTTTCGAAGCTAGAAAACTTACAGACGAGGTCAAAGCGTTTCAATAAGTGAAAATTGCCAAGAATCTTTCTCTTGTGAAGCTTACAGGAAAAGCTCTAGAAAGCTGTAAAAAACGGTCAGAAACTTCTCAAAATCATGTTAAAAACCAAGAAACTATAGTGGGTTCGAAAGCAGAAAATGTACACTATTCAACCAGGTATAAAGCTCAAAAATCGATATTTTTGACAAAAATGAGAGTTTCTAACAGGACGCCCTTAAGGGATAGCTTATGATCATTGGCGAATTATGAATTTAGATTTTCGGATGTTGGAATTTCATCATTATCGACGCTTCTCGTTAACATACAGTTACGAGAACCAATTAGTTCCATTGAATGTTCGTAGTCTGGATGAATCGAAGCCGATAGATGAAACTGATCGGATCGGATGAGATCTAAGATGTTCTGCTGTCAGAAAATTGCTGGGCTTCATCGTAATAAATAAAAATCAAAAAAAACATTTCATGATAGAACCCGTTTATTTTTTAGCATCGGAACATGTCGAACCTAATCGCTTTTGACAACATAGATCCAACTGGAATCGATGAGATAAAGTAATGGGATATAAACAGAAAACACTGGAATTGATCGAATTTCGATACTCATCCGTCAATTCGATCCGATGACCATGTTTAGTCAGATTTGAGATCTGTCCGATAGGATTTCATTTAGAAAGGAAGATTCCTACATGATATCCTTCGATTGCGATGATCTTTTGCCGATAGATACTATATGATGTCCTAGTCTTAATCTCCAACCTATTTGGTCGTATAGCGCTTCTTTCAAAAGTTATGAATTTTTTAACATTGATCATTTAGTCCATACAATTTCTTAATTATTACATTACTTTAATTTTTGCATGAACGCATTTTTCGTACATGGTTTAAAATAATTTGTCAGAGATATTGTTATTTGGAAAACTGCTCCAAACTATGCACAGAAAATGTGTCCATGCAAAAAGCAAAGTAATGTAATAATTAAGATTTTGTATTAAAAAACTGAAAAATGCGAGAGTTCGAATTTTGTAATTGATAGTTTTTTACCGTCATATTCTTTTCTCTAAGTCGACGGGATTGTATTCGCAGAGTTGGTCGAACCATCTTGTAGAGAATTACATGGCGCGTATTTTAGAAGAAGCTTAACGCTAAATGACGGAAACTTGCCGAAATATTAACAAAATACTGAGACTACTGTCCTTTATGCGTCACTCGTTAGATTATTTCGAAGAAATGCTCCAGTTCTATCAAAATATTCGAAAACATCACATTTTCCAGCTCCCATATTTTGTATATATGTTTTGAAAAAAACGATCTAATTACAAAATAATCCGACATGATTGTTATATTCCAATAAAGTGCCATTCTAAGGCAGAAGCTGTACACAAATATTGTATAGAAGAAAGAAGGATCCCAATTGCATTCACTACTGGATTTAAGATGTCTCTCACTTATGGATATAAAATCAGTTTACTTATTTTCAGTAAATTACAACTGTTTCGAATATTCAACACATATCAAGTTAATCGCTTCGTCCGATACGGTCATTCCATTATTCACAAAGAGTTACAATGCAAAACTTATCACAAACAACCAATGAAACAAAGAGTCGACGATTTGTCCAAAGACCATTAGATAGCAACAGTAATACTTCACCACATTCGAAAGTTTTATTCAGCATTCAAAACTTCATTTTGGTTTGGTTGGACTCGAATATCGTTGAATCCAATGATGATGTTTGTAATTCCATAGCTAAACTGCGACAGATTGTCAACCGAATCGATCGATTCACTGATGTTAACCAATGTATAGACTTTCTTACCAAAATCGAAAAGGAAAATATATTCATCATTGTATCGGGTAGTCTTGGTCAATCTGCAGTACCTAATATACATGATATGTCTCGAGTCGATTCTATCTACATATTTTGTGAAGATAAGTCAAAGCATGCACAGTGGGCAAAAGACTGGCCAAAAGTAAAGGGTGTATTTACCGAAATCGATTCTATTTATGATGCACTTGAAAGTGATGCACATCAATGTGACCGCGATTCGACTACAGTTAGTGTAACAAGTGGAGATTTGAATCGTCTCAATCCATCATTTATGTATACACAACTGCTCAAAGAAACTCTTATCGATATGGCACATGAAGAAGAGGAAAAGAAAGAACTTGCTGACTTTTGTCGACAGCAGTATCATGAAAATCCGACTGAGTTAAAAATTATTGATGAGTTTGAGCAAGATTACCACAAAAACACAGCTTTATGGTGGTACACTCGCGAATGTTTCACCTATAAGATGCTCAACCGAGCTCTGCGAATGCAAGAAGTCCAAACTATCCTTAAGATGGGCTTTTTTCTACACGATGTTCATAGAAACATTGTAGAATTACATTCAAAAACAGTACACGATAGTCCCTTCAATGTCTATCGAGGTCAAAGCCTGCCGTACGGCGATTTTGCCAAGATCAAACAGAACAAAGGTGGTTTGTTGGCATTCAACAATTTTTTATCTACAAGTCTCAATGAAGATGTCTCATTACGATTTAGCCGAAATTCGTTGCACAATCCCGATGCAGTAGGAATACTCTTCAAAATGTTCATCGATCCATCGACTTCTTCAGCTCCATTCGCTTCGCTAAAGAGAGTAAGTGCTTATAAAAATGAAGAAGAAATTCTATTCTCTATGCACACTGTATTTCGAATTGTTGAAATCAAACAATTGGAGGACTTGGTGTGGCAAGTAGATCTCGTCTTGACCGCTGATAGCGACGAAGAACTTAAAGAACTCACTGAACACATACGAAAAGAAACACGGGAATTAACACCATGGAATCGACTGGGTCAAATACTATTTCGCATGGGAAATTTCAATGAGGCGGAAGGACTTTATCGGGCACTGTGCGATAGAACATCAAACGACAATGAGACCGAGCTTTCAGAATATTATTATTGGCTTGGAAGAATCAAAAATGCTCAAGGAGATAATACAGAGGCACTGCATTTCTGTGAAGAGTCACTTGAACTCAGACAAAACTGTGTGCCACCGAATCATTTAGCTTTGGCTGCCTCTTACAGCAGTACTGCTTCCGTGTATAACAACATAGGAGAGTACTCGAAAGCACTCAAGTTATCCGAAAAGTCTCTTGAAATTAGACAAAAATTGCTGCCACCAAATCATCCAGATTTGGCTGGCTCTTACAATGCCATCGCTTCTGTATATGATAACATGGGAGAGTACTCGAAAGCACTCGAATTATATCAGATGTCACTTGAAATTAGACAAAAATCTTTGCCACCGAATCATCCAGATTTGGCTGCCTATTACAACAACATTGCTTCTGTATATCAGAGCATGGGAGAGTACTCGAAAGCATTCGAGTTATTCGATAAGTCACATGAAATTCAAGAAAAAACTCTGCCACCAGATCATCCAGCTCCGAGTACTTTCAGTTTTACATTCTGAATCAGAAAAGCAGCTTTAAAATTATACGCAGAAATAGGACAAAATTTCAACTTTTTCTATATTGAAGTTATTGCATTCGAAGCTTGCTTGTCGCTTTTACAAAACCAATGGTAGATAAATATAAATTTATCCCCAAACTTTCTCTCCTGGGGAAAAGATTATTATTGGTACGACAAGACTATTTAGGCTGAAGATTTACTCGCATATGAAAAAGAGAGCTATCCATCTTTACTAAGTGCATCCACCGCCAAAATATGTTGTTGAGTACACTAAAAAGGAACAAAAAGTAAACATATCTGCTCCTAAACTTGTTTGCTGCACTTTACATTGACTCCGTTGGCAAGGGTTATAAGACTTTCACTCGATGCTCTGGCTTCCTTATTAGGGACACAATGTTACTTTCGCGTTCGCTGAGAATTTGAAACGCCTCAAAGTCTATACACAATTACACTCTTTACCTATCGAACTGTCATCCACTACGAACTCAAAACAAAATAGCAGAATTTGACTTCACGGCAAACACAAATCTTCCAGATTACTATAGATGAGAGTATATATACCCGCTGAAGCTAGCTGCATCCGCTGAATTTTACTCTTTTATCTAGCTTTAGTCAATGGAGAAGTGGACATTTCTTCAGCAAGTGCAGCTAGAGGGTTAGCTTAAATAGATTCTACTGATTTGTACCAGAAAAATCAGTTAGCTATCACAACGGGTTTCCACCCGATAAAAAGTCTCATCAGGTGGCTTTTCTATTTGCACGTGTATAGTATACAGTCGATGGTCCAATAGGAAACCTACAAAGTATGCACGAAAGAAAAAGCAGAAGTTCGATAATTCGCCACATTGCTGTTGTAATTTTTCGTGGTGCATATTCTTCAAGAATAATACTCATCATACTGTGATTATCCGATGATAGTGATGTAGTAAGCCGCGGAGTGTATGCACATCGATGGCAGCTTTTGAACGCTGAATAGTAATAAGCAGTGTTGTTGGTGACCGATTTGCAATATTGTGATTCCGAAGAACGATTTCGACTTCTCTAACAAGAAATTAATGATTAAGACATTGTAACTCAAAGAAAATCTAAACATGGTAAGTTATTACAAGTAGAAGCGTGAAGAAGAAAAAAATTGATAATCATAATTGAAACGCATGGTAGGCAATTGTAGGCTTCTAAATAGAAAATAGGATCTCAATTTGAAGCGCATATAACTAATTATTCTATTCACATCTGATGTGTTTCTTGGCAGACTAATTGTCTGAATGATGTGATAATTAATGTATCAATATAATGAATTAAACTCTTTGTGGTGAGTATCCAAAAGCTATTTATGAGAAAAAAAATGACATAGTAGTTTTGTTTTTGACAATTATCTCATGTCTTTCACTAAGGAATTCATTGAATCAGTATAAAAATTCATTTGTTTATACTAAAAAAATATAGTTAAAAAATTAATGAATAAATATGTTAAACTTATTATTATTCTTCAAATATTTAGTCTGTGAAACGATCTTCAATCAAACAGAAGAAATGTTCGAAATGAATTTTAAGAAATAAATAAAAGAATGACTTTTATGTTCACTTGTTATATTGATTAGTATAACTGATCTATTTAGAAAGCAAACGTTATGTCAGAAACTGCTTTGACATGCTAATTTTGTAGTTGAAATTAATTTAAAATATTATTGACTAAAGGAAATGAAATCTGAATGTTATTTTTGCATTTTTCTAAGGTTTCAGTTCGAACTGATCAATGAGTAAAAGAAAATAAAGATGTAGCTTCATTTCTAATAAGACTCAGTCCATTAATTATTTTTGTAGGCACGACCATTCATTCAGATGAATGGCGAGCGCGTACAGGTTTAGGAAACAATCCCGATTTTACACATAAAACAGTTAACCACTCCCTTCATTTTGTTGATCCAGTAACTCATACCCACACCCAAAATATAGAAAACACCTGGATGCGTGTAAAACGTAAACAAAAAAAACAAAATGGAATTCAAAGATCCTTATTACCAACATATTTAGAAGAATTCGTTTGGCGCCAGGATTTCGGCGATAAACCGTTAAAAAATTTAATTTTACAAATTTTTGAAAATTATCCTCTTCAATAATTGTATTTTTTTTCTTAATAAATGCCTTTCGTTCTTATCTGACATCTATATTTTATTTTCTTTCTTTTACTTGCTGGTTATGCGCTAACTAATAGATTTTTTTCTCGTTCTGTTCATATATATATCATTAATGGTGTGACTAAAGTGCAGGAGTACCCTTATTCAATTTAATGAAATAAATCGAAAATATTTGTTTCGTTATTAATAAATAATCAAATACATTAGACAAACATATTTTTTTTAAATACTAAATTAGTTCAAACTTATTGTTTTATTTTAATTAGATTGAAAAGAAAAAAAAACAGAATCAACTGTCGATCATGATTAATATTATCTCAATTTGTAAAAATTAATTCAAATATTGGAAATCGATATATTTTAGGATATAATAATAATAATAATATTTTAATTAATATAAATGATGAATCAAATCGTCGATATATAGGAAAAACTTCAGAGAATATTCGTCGACTTCTTCGTTGGTTTGGATGGAAAGCTGAACCACTACTATCATCATTACCACAGCCACCACCACCGCCAACAACAACAATTCAAAAAATTAAACGTTTTTTTCTTATGCCACCATCAATTGAATGATTTTTACTTCGATCATATATTATTGAAGATGAAGATTTAGCATGATTATTATCTAAAACAGCTGCTATTACAATATATGCTATGTTAACTGTAACAACACTTGGTGTTGATACAAAACCATTATTAGCTGGTATTGGTATAACTGGTTTTTACTATTGGTTTTGCTCTTAAAGAAGTTGCTACGAATTTTATATCAGGAATATTTCTTGTTATTAGTAAACCATTTGTTCGAGAATGTAGAATTAAAATTCATGGTAGTGCTGGTGGAATTGAAGGTTATTTATCTTTTTTTTTTTTGTAAATTTATTTTACAATTTTATTTTAAAGGTCTTGTTTATCTTATTGATGTTAGATATGTTCATTTAAAAACAAAAGATCGTAAGTTATTCATTCTTTTTTTTAAAGATAATATTCATACGTAGAATAATATCAATCTCAATAGATTTTCATTTAGCGATTTGAATACATATCTGATTATTGAAAACTGATCTTAGTCACCTTACGGAATATGTTAGTTTTCAAAAAAATACTCACGCATCTTTTTACTAAGAAACTATTAGAAAAATTGAACACGATATTGATGTATTTTTCTATCTCAAGAAAATCTATGCAAATATATCATTATAATTTAATATCAATTATTATGAGATACGTCAAGCTTTTCAAATTTTATGATTTCAAAAAGATTTTAATTATTGCCTCAGATCGTTTTTTCAGAACAGAATATTCATCTTCTACAAAGTATTAGAAATCCTAAGGATTCATCGATATATATGATGAAGGAACGTCTTGATTGAAAATGAAATGATAATAAGAAAAGGATGTATTCACTCTTGCAAAAATAAAAGTATATAATGATAGAACTTGGATAAACAAAGTCAATATGAACTCAGTAAACAATGGGTGTGAGGGTGGGGTATGATCGGCACGCACTCACACCCACATCCACATGATAAGAATAAAACTATATTTGAAGGATACATCATATCTAATAATTATCTTTATTTTCTTTTAACTTTGTCGATAATGATTTATAATTATAAGTAAAATCTGGTTAAAATTAAAAACAACTCTACTTTTGTTGCAGTGATTTTGCTTAATTAATTATATTTGTATATAAATGAGAAAAGAAGTTTTGTTTTCATAGATGTCAAGTCAATTCTTCAGGTCGGTATTGTTGTCGATTAGTAGATGATGATGCACTAGGAATTGTTAGTGTTTATAAAGGATGATACTTAAATGAAGTTAGAAGAGTATATTGTCGATAGATCATTCTTTCTCGTGAACAATACGGTAAACAATGTAGTATTGATATTCTTTATTTTTCAGATAGAATTAAGATCATAATGTTTTTGTATTATTATTAGATCAAAAGGAGATCAATTCATTGATGTGTTTTATTTTTATTGACGATACAATCACAGAATGCTGCTCTTCATTTTTTTCCAAAAACAAATATTCAATTACGCATTTTGCAAAAAGTAATATTTATCTAATTTTATTACTTGATATATGATTAGCAAAAGCAGTAAGAATCGCGTCAGATGTTCTGTTTGAATAGAAATTTCATGTGAAAAAATTGTTTTATTCGTCCTTTATGTATATACTTGCTTTATTTACGCATTGAAGAAGAGCACAGTTAAAAATACGCAAAGTATAGAGATCGAATGCGTATGCCAAGGACTACACATTAAATAGTCATATTCATTAGTATTCATGGGACTAAATGGTATCGTACCAGACTCCTTAGTAAGAACTCCGTACTAACAGATAGATGATTTCCCAAACTGTACAAGATATTGTCCATACTCAGTAAAACTTTCATCTAGTATAATTATGTTGCACCCTGATTTGTTATGTGAACTTGTAACAAAAGGATTTTAACAGATAATTTTCACCATAGCTAAACACTATTGATGCTTAACAACAAGTTTTCAAATACAACGCACGTACACAATATTGCTAATGTCATCGCTCAGATTTATGAGAGCGTAATTCATATATTAGATAGATGAATAGTTAAAAGAAATATTTTTGAAAGTACCTACAAATATCCAGATATCTATTGTTTTAAGTGCATCTACGATACCAACTGAAAGCCTATTTGATGCTTCTACCAAAACTCTTAACATCAGTCTTATTATACATTCAAACAGGTTCGCATGACCAGTTTCAAGCTATTGCGTACCTGCCCGATCATTCTCAAAACTGTACATATTTCTGTCCATTGTCTTATATCCTTTATGACGCATACAGCTCTCCTTGTCTTCGCTAGATCCAGAATATATACTGTAACCAGTGTTTCCAATGGCAGGTGTACCAAGCAGAAGCAAAATGTATGGAACATCTGCTACTTTTGACTTACACGCTGTTGTACAATTGCTCAGAAAAACAAAGTGTACAATGTACACTTTGCTAAAATAGTTTACACTTTGATTTCTTCGATTTTTGAACCTTAAAAGCCGCATATAGTTTTAAATTAATTTAAGATTACGTTTATTTGCTCTCTACAGATCAAAATGTTTATCTCATGAAAGAAAAAAATGGCGAACTTTATATTTTGTTTTTCAGATTGTGAAAATTTTACTTTCGTACACTTTGATACATTTTGCTGAAAAAAACAAAGTATAAAATACACTGCTAATAAAATACAGAGTGCACAGTACATTTTCCTTTAAATTTCTATTGGAAACACTGACTATAACTATCATAAGTGATGACATCAACTAACATGACATATTCTAATTTTAACAAAAATTAAAAAGCAACAGAACTTGAAGATATAAAAAATCATATTACGATATTGAAGTTAATGTAATGAGTCAGTGGAATGTTAGGACTCAACTGTAAATATGAACTGATTATATTATTGTTAATCGCTTTGTGACTTGGGCGTTTAATTAAAATATTGGACGAAAAGGAAATTTTCTAGCCTGGAAAAACACTTTTTTTTGGATCTTTCGATTCTAAATTGAGATCATAGAGACATGCAAACATATATAGTTTTGTAGAGCAAGTCAAACTCTATCGATTGGTATATGGCTCTATTTGAATAAGGAAAAATTTTGCAACTGAAAAATTTCATAAAAGGTATAGGTCAATTTTTCATACTTTTTTGAGCTAATTTTGAGAGTGTATGTAGTTGGACAGTCCTAGCGAATCAGAAATCTTTAGATTATAATATGTTGTATTCATATATAGTAGATAAGACTTAAAATTCCTAGGATGTCAAATCCGAAATTAGTTGACTCCTATTGTTTCGTTATACTCTTTAAAATGTTAAGTAAATGATCGAATATCAATAAATACTGGTTGATAAAAGTATTCATCAAGTCGAGTAACATTTTCAAATCCAGCATCATGCATCTATTTGATTAATTTTTCCGAACTAATTGCATGTCTAACAATATGTTTAGAATAAAGATCTTCTTTAATAATATATAGAGTAAAATCATAATATTGAGAATTTTGTTCATA